CAACTATTGGATGGAGGATTTTACCCCAAAAAAAAAAAAAAAAAAAGCTATTGGATGGAGGAATTTCACATTCATTTAGAGATTTTCATTATTTAATAGTTAATATTTTATGGTTTGTATTTATTATCACATATTGTATTTTAATTAATTTAAAGGAAAAATTGTGATTTAGCTACTTATATAATTTGAGGTAAGTGCATATTAAGAAATGAAATTTTAAAATATGTATATAACATATTTGTGATTTTGGGCATATATAAACAAAGATTCAAGATTTTAAAATGTACAAATAAATACAAGAGATTTACATCAAATATAGATAACCACTTGAAATTTCTTAGAATCCCTTATATGTCTCTAACTTAAAAAAAATATATGGAAAAGAGAGAGAGAGAAAAAAAAAATTTAGGATATTTCATGTAACATTAAGTGCTTAAACACACATTTTGAAATTTTAAATTTTTATATACATTTACCTCAAACCACAAGTATGTAATACATATATTTTTAAATCTCAAATCTTTATTTGCACTAATCTGAAATTACAAGTAATTAAAATATAATTTCCCTTAATTTAAGTGACAAATACACCCCAAGACTTTATATGTACAAGTCTATATTTCTCTTCTCGTATCAAACTGTTGATGTATAGATTCTTCCGAGGGATTACCATTATACGAAGAGAAGGATTCATTGAACCGTGGCATAAAAGGTCAACATAAGCCAGAAACAGGACAAGGAGACAATAGCAACCCCTTAACTTCCTGTTAGATATCCCAAAGGTAGTTTTAATGAAATTTTAAAATGACGTGTTAAACTTATCACAAATATTAAAATGATTAATACACAACTTATAGCATCTATAATATGATAACATTTGGTAACACCTTCCTAAGTGTTACGCAAGTGCTATTGGAGATGACTTTCTAGGCCCATCAATATAACTTTCAAATATATATTTTTATATATGTTAATTTTGTTTAATGATATCAACTTACAACTACATCCAATACTTGAGTTCTAAATTCAAAATAAAATTATTAGTAAGTACTAACAAAGTGAATATTGTGGTTATTATTGTATATAATTTTTTTATTATTATTATTTTTTGAACAGGTTCCTAAGGGGGTGAGAAACCCAGCCCAGGGAAAATGGGAAGTGGGATGGTCTCAAATTCGAGGTCTATGAGAAGTCCTATGCGGAGAGCTATCACTTGCTCTACCCAGGAGTTTTCGTACATAATTTTATTATGACCATAAAATATTAATTATTTTAAATAGTTAGTTATAATATTTAAAAGCATTAACTTTTAACTAATGAAAGATAATATAGGACAGGTTGGTTGATACCAAAATATTTTTGGGGGGACATATCTTAGAACCTATTTTATAATTAATATTTTTAAAAATTGACTGTTAAATTAAAAAATTTATTTATATAAATCATGCATATTAATTTTTATATTGATTTAATATTTATAATTTTTTAATTAAAAAAATTTATGTATTAACATATATCTAATAGTATTAAATTTTATATAATTAATAAAGTGATTAAATCTATTAAAATAATTTAAAAATTAACATATATGATCTATATAAATATAAATTTCAATCAAATGATTAGTTTTTTAAAATATTAATTAAATATAAAATTTTAAATATGTCATCCAAAAAAAATTTAAGATTTGTAAAAACACTTTTCTCTTAACTTTAAACTATTAACTAATAGATATTAAATGTTCATTGATTAACAACTATAGTATATAACTATCATTAACAATTTTTTTTTTTGAACGGATTTTACAAGGAGTTGGGTTCGAACCCCAGCCCTGGGGAGGGGGGAATGCATCATGGTGGCTATTACAACTTGGCCTGAAGGGCTCGGTGCAACTATCATTAACAATTAAACCAAGCAAAATTAATATTTTAAATAAAAAATTCTATAGCTATAATCATAAGACCTTATAATTTTATGACATGATATATAATTAAATAATTAAATTTTTTGTTTAAAAATTTATTTATTATATTATATTTATTTATATAATATCATATTATATTGTATTTAATGTTATATAAAATTATAATTTTACATAATATTATAACAATAATATTTTTATTTTTTTAATATAATATTAATAATTTCGTATAATTATAACAATTTAATATGTACTCATATTCCTACCCATTGCGGATTACTCAACTCCCAAAAATTGAAGCGCCAACTTTCCCATATCCCGAGGTTAAAGATTCTGAAACGCCGACGGTTCGCTGAGTCAGCAAGTGGACAGATCCTAAATCTAAATCTCAATGGATAAGCCTATTGACTCCTTAACCCAACCAAAAACTCTCAAGCTAACCATGGTCAGTTATCCCATATATGATCTCCAGTATTTTCCAAACGGATTACCCTCACAAGTCGAAATCGAAGCAGTTTCTTCCAACACAAAGTCACAAACGTAGCGCCGATGGCTTTCACATCTCTTAGCTGTTGCTCGACTCCTTTCATGGGCACAAAGTCCGCCTTCAACCAGCCCAATTCCATCCCGAAACGCGTCCATTTCCGGCAACTGCGTGTATCCGCTACTGCCTGCGCCCCCACGGCGGAGAGACCGATGCCCCCTTCTCACATTGTACCGCAGGCTTCGCTCTACGAGGTTCTCGGGATCCAGACGGGTGCCACGTGTCAGGAGATCAAGGCCGCCTACAGGAGACTGGCGAGAGTGTTGCATCCCGACGTCGCCGGAAACGATCGAGGTGACGACACGGCCAGCGAGTTCATTAGGGTCCACGAAGCCTACGCCACACTCTCTGATCCCGAAAAACGGGCCGATTATGATCGTACGTTGATGTTCATGCGAGGGCTGTCTGTGGGTTCTTCCCGTGTCATGTCAGCTTCCGCCCCATCAATGACGAGTTCCGTGGCTTCGAGATTTTCTGGGTATGCTCGGCGGACGTGGGAAACGGATCAGTGCTGGTAAAACTCATAATTGGAGAAGATGAAGCAAGGAAAAATGGTTTTTTAATTTGTTTAGGACTAAGTAGGATATTAATTTTCCCCTCGGATTTCATTAAATTTGGGGATTATTAATCCTATCAGTTTGTAAGTAGAAAATGTAGTAACTCAAAACAGGGCAAATTTTTGTAGCCCAAGTTATAAAATTTTGATTTTGTTTCTGTCTAATTTCTGTTTCAATTTGGTTCATTTCCAAGAATTCAAACTCAATTTGTTTTGAATAACTTTTTCTTATGTAGTCTGCAATGAAGTAGTAGAAGAGATAAAAGCAAAACAACCAAAAACATAGCAGAATAGAGGAAGAAAAAGACGCTTCTATTGCTGGAAGTAGATAAAGATGATTACACCTTAAATTGAATAACAACTGCCTATTTATAATAGGGTAATAAAGCATAAACTCCTATTTTCTAGTCATTACAAACTGAAACTTAATGATAAGGAAACGTGGTTATCAGTAACCACAATAGTAGGACACATAAACTCCACTAACTAGGACTCATTCAAAAACAATTAGTTTTAAAATCGTGATTAACTCCAACATCCCTACCTTAATCCTGATTCGGTAGAGCCGATATTCCCATCATACTCTTCAACTTGACAAAAGCTTCATACTTCAAAGGTTTAGTGAGGATATCAGCAACTTGATTTTCGGACTTGCAGTACTTTAACTCAATCACCCTTTTGTCGATCAAGTCTTGCAAATAATGAAATCTTATGTTGATATGCTTGCTCCTTCCGTGCTGGACTGGGTTCTTTGCCAAGTTAATAGTTGAAATATTATCAACAAAAATCTTCATAGGTTCTTCAATTGGGACACGAACTTGATTCTTCAAGCTTTGCAACCATATTGCTTGACATGCACTTGAGGCTACCACCACATACTCTGCTTCACAGGTTGAAAGTGCAACAATCGACTACTTTTTTGATGACCATGAACAAGCTGTACTGCCAAAATTAAAGCAATAACTAGTAGTGCTTTTACGATCATCTAAGTCTCCACCCCAATCACTGTCAGAGTAACCTACAAGAGCACAATTGCTAGATGAAGAGTAAAATAGAACATGATCAAAAGTGCCCTTTAGGTACCTCATAATTCTCTTGGAAACTTGCAAATGAGATTGACGAGGGGACTCCATAAACTTGCTAATCAATCCAACACCATAGGAGATGTCAAGTCGTGTGCATGTGAGATACCTCAAACTCCCAACAAGTTGCTTGAAGAAAGTGGGATTAACACGTACGTCATCACCCTCCTTGAACAACTTAGTTCCAACCTCCACAGGAGTTCTTGCTGGATTGCAATTATGCATATGAAACCTCCTTAACAGTTCAGAAGCATACCTCTTTTGACAGATAAAGATCCCAGCTTCTCTTTGCATCACTTCTATACCCAGAAAGTAAGACATTAAACCAAGATCCGTCATCTCGAATTCGTGCATCATAAACCTCTTGAAGTCTTCAATCATTCTGGTACTGTTGCTTGTAAATATCAGATCATCAACATAAAGACATAGTATCAAAATGTCACTAGATTCATTAAACTTCACATATAAAGCATGTTCAGAAGGACATTTCTTGAATCCAGCCTTGACAAAGAATGAATCAATGTACTTGTTCCATGCTCGTGGTGCTTGCTTCAAACCGTAAAATGCTTTCTTCAATCTGTACACTTTATCTTCACTTCCTTCTTTCACGATTCCTGGTGGTTGCCTGACAAAGACTTCTTCTTCAAGAGGACCATTCAAGAATGCTGACTTCACATCCATTTGATTAATCTTCCATTGATTTTGTGCAGCCCAAGCTATAATGAATCTAATGGTCTCCATTCGAGCTACTGGAGAGAACACCTCCTGATAATCATGGCCAGGACGCTGTTCAAATCCTCTTGCCACCAATCTTGCTTTATGTGTTTCAATCTCTCCATTGGACTTCATCTTTGTCTTGAAAACCCATTTGACATCAATTGCTTTTTGATCCTGTGGTAAGTCAGTAAGCTCCCATGTGTTGTTCTTCTCAATTGCCTTCATCTCCTCAAGCATGGCATTCACCCATTTAGGATCTTGAATGGCTTCTTAAAAAAATACGGGTTCTAAATCTGCAAACATGGCAAAGTGCACCAGATTTCCATCATCATCATTAGCATCATCGGATGTTACCTCATAATCCTGTAAAGTAACTGGTGGTTGTCTTTGTCTCCTTGATCTTCCAGCTTCAGGAAGAGTCTGTGTCATGGGATTTTCTGGTGTAGTATAACTTGGTGCAACAGCTTCTTCATTAGTATTGGTTGTTGTAACTTGAGAATCTTCTTCAAGAATAGTGACAGATCGCCTTTGGGAGTCATTGTTTGTATCCAGATCCCACCTCCAAGCTTCATCTTCTGCGAAAGTCACATCCCTACTTACAATCACCTTATTAGTCACAGGATTGAACAGCTTGAATCCTCCACGAGTATAGCCAACAAAGATGGTCTTCTCTCCACGATCATCTAGCTTTGTCCTTGTTTGTGCTGGCACATAAGCAAATGCAATAGAGCCAAACACCTTAAGATGCTTCACACTTGGCTTGAAACCACTCCATGCTTCTACGGGAGTAACATTTTGAAGACTCCTTGTTGGAGACCTGTTTAACAAATAAACAGAACAGGAAACAGCTTCACCCCAAAAAGAATTTGGCAATCCCTTGGCCTTCAAGATGCTCCTCACCATGTCCATTATGGTTCTGTTCTTCCTCTCTGCAACTCCATTGTGCTGTGGAGTGTAGGGACATGTAACTTGATGTTGTATACCCTGTTCTCCACAATACTCATGAAATTCATTGGAGGTATATTCACCCCCACCATCAGTTCGTAAGATTTGGATACAATGACCACTTTGTCTTTCAACATGAGCCTTAAACTTCTTAAAACAACTCAATACTTCAGACTTATTTTGCAGAAGATAGACCCAAATTTTTCTAGTAAAATCATCAATGAAGGTAAGAAAATACCTATTGTTACCAATTGATGTAACACTCATTGGGCCACAAACATCAGAATGAACAAGTTCCAATGGCTTTCTTGCACGCCAATTCTTTCCAGCCACAAATGGTAACCTGCTGTGTTTTCCAAGAGTACAAGCCTCACACAATTGCTCTGGATGATTTATGCTAGGCAAGCCCTTCACCATATTTTCTTGAGCAAGCAACTTCAAACTACGAAAGTTTAGATGACCAAAATGAAGATGCCATAACCAAGAATCATCTTTTAAAACAGCACTAAGGCAAGTGTAAACCTCACTAGCAATGTCAACTCGAAACATACGATTCTTTGATAGAGGAGCCTTAAGAATAAGTGTACCTTTTGCATAAGAAATGGAGAGTTGATTATCACGTAGGAGCATATTATAACCCCTTTCCAGAAATTGACCCAAGCTAAGCAGATTGCTCTTCATATCTGGCATATAGAACACGTCTGAAATATAATTATGATCTCCATTCTTCAACTTGATGAGGATTCTCCCTTTTCCCATCACTGGTATAGTGCTTTCATATGCAAATTTGACCTTGGATCGATACGACTCATCAAGATCAACAAAGAACTCCTTCTTACCACACATATGATTAGTACATCCGGTGTCAAGAAACCATGTGTGATAATTCGATGCCTCATTTGTTGATGTAACCATCAAAAGAGCATGATCTTCATTGTCATCTTCCTCTTGTACATAATGAGCCTTTTGATCATTCTCCTTATATCTGCACTCACTTGAATAATGACCACGTTTATGACAAGAATAACACTCAACATGAGATTTGTCATACCTTCCTCTACCACGTCCTCGACCACGACTGCGACCTCTTGTATTCTGTCGATGGCCAAAGTTTGATTTTTCTTGGTCATCACCACCTACTCCATAATTGTTGTTATGATTACCTCGACCTTTGTTGAAGTAAAAACCACGTCCTCGTCCTCTACCACGAGAACCACCATGCTTTTGACTTGTTTCACCACCTTGATTACCTTTGATGGAAACTTGGCTTTGGAAGGCTTGCTCAATCGGCTTCTCTGTCCGTTTCTCATTCATTCTCTGCTCATGTGCTTCTAATGAGCCTGACAACTCTTCAACAGTCATTTGGGACAAATCATGGGCTTCTTCTATTGCTGCCACAATGTGCTCAAATTTTGGTGTGAGTGTCCGCAAGATTTTCTCCACCTTAGTCTGCTCTGTGTACTCCTCTCCATAAATCTTGATTTTATTTGTCAAAGCAAGAACTCAAATAACATAAGTGGCGGTAGTTTCACAAGACTCCATTTCTAGGAGCTCATATTGGCGTCTTAAGGTTTGAAGTTTTACTTTCTTAACTTTCTCCGCACCTTTGTACGCCGTCATCAGGATATCCCATGCTTGCTTTGACGTAGTTGCATCTTGAATCTTCTCAAACACTTCATCATTCACCCCTTGATGGATGAAATATAATGCCTTCTTATCCTTTTTCTTGTTCTCACGATGGGCGTGCTTTTGGGCATCATTTGCATTTTTTGCAAGTTCAGCAACTCCAGTCTCCACCACACCTAGCAACTCGTGGTAATCAAAAAGCACCCTCATTTGGACATTCCACCTATTGTAATTCTTCCCATCCAAGATACGAACTGAAATCTGATTTGAGCCATTCATTGTGTAAGGCTCTGATACCAATTGAAGTAGCAGAAGAGATAAAAGCAAAACAACCAAAAACAGAGCAGAACAGAGGAAGAAAAAGACACTTCTATTGCTGGAAATAGATAAATATGATTACACCTTAAACTGAATAACAACTGCCTATTTATAATCAGCTAATAAAGCATAAACTCCTATTTTCTAGCCACTGCAAACTGAAACTTAAAGATAAGGAAACGTGGTTATCAGCAACCACTATAGTAGGACACATAAACTCCACTAACTAGGACTCATTCAAAAACAATTAGCTTTAAAATCGAGATTAACTCCAACATGCAAATGGGTTATCTCAATTGTTCTGGTTTGCCTTGTTTTTGTAAATGCTTTGCCTATGAATGCGACATTGATTGAAAAACCCATCTTAATGCTAAACTGACAGTGTCTAGTTTCGTTTTTTTTAATTATTATTCAAATTCAAAATTCTGGAGTCTTCAGAACGGGCAAAGGGGAAAGAATACAGTAGAACAGTCTCCATAAAATCAAGAAATGGGTAAGAGAAGATGGAACCGAAGGCACAACAGTTCGACATACATTGGAAGCATCCATTGGATGGCTCAGGAGACACGGACAGAGAAGGAAATAAAATAGAGAAATATTCTTGGTTTATAATTTTTTTAATTCCCTTCAAATCATCCAAATTTTCGGATTCTGTTTCGCGGCCTTGGAGTTCTGTACCAACAGGCGCGGCTCATTTCCAGTCCAGCAGCATGCCGGCCCAAACCCAAACAGCATAGATACCAACTTTATAGCGGATTTTCATTTATTTATTTGTTTGTTTATTTACGTTTTTCAAGTCTAGTTTCAATGGGCTTTTTCTAATCCAGTTTATTACAGGCTCAATGAGCTATTTTATGGGCCGGTAATAGATGGCCGAAGTCTTTTTTTTTTTT